TATACCATAATCGCTAAGCCAATAAAAATTCTTGAATTGCATTATCCAATGATCCAGTTTTAAATAATAGTTATTAGCAGTCTAGCAAGTAAGTTAAATAAGTTTATTTCTAGCTTCTAAGAAAGTCTTATTAGTTTCTCTCCCACCCACTTCTGATAGCCACTTTTGATTGTTTCTATATTAGTGTTTGTAATTAATCCTTGATTACTGGATGGTTGTTTTGGTGTATATGTTGAATGGTTAAAGGTAAGGATAAAGCCCACTTACAAGCCAAGTAGCCCATTGGGCCGGCGCTTAACCCTGGTTTCCATAACATGAAGCGACTAGGAGTATTTCTACTTCCCCCTGGATAGAATACTAGTTCATTGCAGGGTTACCCCCAGCATTAAATTTGCCAGCAGCCATTTGTTCCCCTGCGTGAAGAGAGGCACTTGCCCAAGATCATAACACAATGACCCCGGCTAGGGCTCAACCGGGACCACTCGATCTGGAGTCGAGCACTAACCATGAGGCTACAGCACTTCCACACATGTGTTGAATACCTTTGATTTAATAGTCTAGTTTTTTTTATGTACATGGGTTTTATACGTTTAATAAACTGATGTACCTGGTCCCAAAACAAGCCTTTGTCTGTTTCAGTATTTAAAACTAATGCTTTTATCATTATAAATGTAAGGCTTGAAAATTGGGGAATTATGACTAGTGGTATATCCTAGGATATTCCCCAGTTTAGGCTGAGGCATATTCTGTCACATAATGTATTCAGACTGATTGTGTGGGAGCAAAAATATTTCATGGATTATTACATTGAATGGTATATTTCTTGGGATTATTCCACAATATCATTTAACACACAAGAAATGGTCACATTTTGAAAAGCTGATATAAAGTGTATAGTGAGCACTTCACAACCTGAACAAGTCCACTTGCCACAAAATTACTTCCTTGAACCTGCAAGGAAGGTGAAGGGGTTGTCATCTCCCTGTCATTTCAATCCTCCATTGGGGAATCAACAAGCTTAGAGACAAAACAAATTGAGATAGACAGCTATAATTAGTCACTGCAACAATGACTGATTGATTCATTGATTTTCGATTACCTAATTATGTAATATCTATTTAATCATTTTACTTATTGCACATTCATTTAATACGTACTCATGCCATTATTAAAAATGATGGAGTTATGGATCATTGAGTGCATATGTTAATATGGTAATTAATTAAAACACACAACAATTTGATTAACAGCAGTGAATAAATTGTCATTTAGCTATAGCGTATCTAGCTTGTGTAACGAATCATGTGGACTACAAGCAGTCCCTCCCTTTCAGCAAAGTCTGTCACAAGAGTCAAAAAAAGTCGCTGAAAAAAAAGCTGCTGTTAGAACACAGCAGGGAACTCTTGGAGTGTGGCTGATATACCATATAGGAGCTCCATGGGTGAGGTGCTCAAACTACTTTTTGAGAACCTCACTTATGTAGCTCCTGCAGCACATCTGTGTCACTTCAAGAGTTTCCCATGGTGGGCTAATATCAAGCTTTAATTTCACACTTTTTTCACTCACTTGATGGGTTATGCTGAAAAGGAGGGCCTGCTCAAAGTTTAAGAATGATGAACACTGATATCTCCTAAATTATGGTAATCTCACTGCAGTATTTCAATTAACCTATATTGTAATTCTCAATGGAAAAGGAGTGTATGGTCATTTTCATGCGAGGATCTAAACAATATCTCAAACATGTAAGACAAACTATGTGGTTACCTTTAAATAAGGATTTCTTTCCATTGAGGCCATTGTTGCCGAGCTGAAAGGAAAATCTCAATTTTTGCTGATGAGGCTACGTAAGATGATACAGAGTATATTCATTGCTCTGTATGTAATGACCTGTGGAAGGTGAAATGTATGTATACAGGATGAGCATTTGTTTTTTTTGTTGTTGTTGTTGTTGTTGTTGTTTTTTTGGCTTTATATTCTAAATTTCAATGGATTAAAATCAATTAAGTACCATTACTTAAAATCTGAAGAAAATCAATTCAAGGGTAAAGAGAGTGCTTCTTCTGTGGGATACTAATAAGGTGATGCCTGAAATAGTTTTTGACTTTTCATTCAAAACAAAATAATATGACATTTTTCTTCTGAACACATACATTAACAGATTTAATATTCATCTGTGAAATAGCTAATTCACTCAACATCCACTGAAGACTATATTATGTATGCCCTGCATGGATCTCCAGCCTACAATTTATTACTTTATGTACCATGCACTCAATGAACTATTTTTCCTTTCCTTCTGCCCTTCTCTCATTGTTCTACTCTCTTTTTCAAATGAAGTGAGTTTGACTTTCTTACAGAATGAAAGAAATAACATATTGTGGATTATGCATATTGCATTATGCATAAGTGCATTATGCAGGGTATAGGGGAAGTGCAGAGGATTTGAAATCCTGACCCTGTTTAGTATAGGTAATCACATGATTTCGAGTGCAATTTGGAATAAAAAAGCAAGAGTAATTTTTTTCAAAGTCTAAGAAAATTGCATGAGCCCATAGAGCAAGTGCAATTTGTGGTCTTTGAAAAAATTTACAAGTGCTTATTTATTCCAAATTGCACAAGAAAAATCATGTGATTATGTATTAATAATGTACACGAAAAAATACGAGGTAGCTTATCATAATTATGCAGAAGAAAAGGGCATGGATCATATGCAAAAATAATTTATTCAAACCCTGCAAGTGACATTGACATTGACCAATCACTCTGACAAAGCAGAATGTCTGGCTTGTTACTTTCTTTGCACTGAATTGACCCTCTTCTGCACTGAATTAACTCTCTTCTGCACTGAATTACCTGAAAACTGCATTTATCTTAACCAATCAGAACTGAGTAATTTTTTCATGCATATTATTACCACTGAAATACCGGTACTCTAAAAATCCTACCAAGTGTAGGACAACACCCTCTATTTTAAAACCCTGTTCAGGACAAGAGACCAATACACGCTCACTCCATTTACATGAATTTAAACTTTGTAATAACTCATTCCAGTTAGAGAAATCGTGTCTGATGAGTCTAAAATCACACATCTCTAAACTTGAAATAAACAAAAGGTCAGCAAGCATTAAGCTCTAAACTAGTTAATGTAGCAAAATGCCTCCACTACATCTATAGAAAGGTGATTTTGGTAATGGAAAATCAAAGAGAAATGATTACTAAATGAACTGTTTACTTGTGATTAATCTGAAAGAAGGAATTGTATAATCACAGAAAGTAACTGTAACTTTGAAACATCATAAAAAATGTTTTGACTAAAACACTCATAGAGCTCTAACAGAGAAAAAACAACCCTGAACAATATTGTGTACAGCAGGATGCACTGATTCATGCCTGTGTGACAAAGTGACATCTTACCATCTTCACAGTCATCCAACTCAGAAAAACTAAACCTACCATTATGATCTACTCTGTCAGTGCACACTCATTATAGTACTGATAAGTGGCAAAATGATTTAAGTTAAAAGATATAGACTAGAATAGCATTCTCATCCAGGAATGATCTGATATCAAGTTAATTGATGACCTCGTAATGTTTGGTTAAGATCTCTTAGCTCATAATACCATACCCTGTTTAGGACAGGTTTGCACTCACCCTGTTTTGAATGGGCGCAAATAGATTACCCTTTTCAGGATAAAATAATTTATTAAATTAAAAGATACTAACTAGAATAACATTCTCATCCAGAAATGATCTGATGTCAAGTTAATTGATGACTTTGTAATGTCTGGTTAACATCTCTTTGCTCAAAATACGATACCCTGTTTAGGACTGGTTTGCACTGACCCTGTTTTGGACAGGGGCAAATAGATTATTTACCCTTTTCAGGATAAAATAATTTATTAAATTAAAGGATACTGACTTGAGTAGCATTCTCTTCCGGAAATTATCTGATCTCATGTTAATTGATGACCTTGTAATGGCTGGTTGACAACCCTCAGTTCATAATACCATACTCTGTTCAAGACAGGTTTGTACTCTGTTCAGGACAGGGGCAAGTAGATTATTTACCCTTTTCAGGGTTGTCTCGGGTAGCCGTGACCATGTAAACGGGGCCTTAGTAATAAGTGATCGCGCTTGATAGAGGTGTGAATTGCTGTAATTAAAGGGTAACAATTTCGGGACTTTGAAAATAGATCGCGTAACAGTGTGACCGCTAATTAGAGTGCCGCATAGTGCAGTTTCGATGCACGCGTATCTATATATCGTTCTTTGGATTCGATGTTCGTTCTGTATGGGGAACTGTATGTTATATCAGTACTCTGTAACTTTTTACTTTGTTTTAATTTTTCTACATGGTAGCCATCTGATTTGGCATGACATTGAGGATGTTTTAGTGTGTGTGTGTGTTTTTTTTTTTTTTTTTTTTAATTTACGAACGAGTTATCTGACTGATAGCGTGCTTCATGAAACGAACGCGAGTTAAGGTCATCCGCTGTTATAGATACGACATCCTAGGAAACTTACCAAAAGTCCCGTCCAAATTGGCATAAAGATATAGCTGCGAATGGAATATTTTCCATAGCGGTCTAAGATTCCTGTTGTGGTCATTGACAGTGCAAAAAGTATCTGCTAGTGGAAACCAAACCGCGTAAGAAATTGGAAGACATGATTGCCATGACAGTGTAGTAAAAATTAAAACTCGTGCTATTGTTATAGCTCGGATGGTCACGAAATCTTCACGAAATCACTAATTACAATTGTTGTTTTCAGACCTCATTCACATTTCGGCTGAATTTTTCATCCTGATGTTTCCAAGAGTTTTTAGAAAACTGAGGATCATTACCATTTACCCAAAAAAAGGTGAAAAAAGTTCCAATACCAGAGAAGAAAGATTGTACAGTTTTTCGTGACTACATGACCACGGGCGGTAGAGACTTTAGACCGTGTTCAAGAGCTCGGGAATTAGAAGGTAGAAAAATGCACAGAATTTTGGCGAGTGTGTGTTCGAAAAGCACCGTTTTTTGACGGAAGGACAATTTATTCAATTGGTGAAAGTAAAAGTAGTAAGCCATACCGAGAACTGTGGCTCAAAAGGCTTTATTTTTTTAGGGTTTAATTTATAAAGGGAAATTTCCTTGATAAAGCTCCATGAGATAAACCATTCCACATGACTTGCTGAAGGGCTCGAATTACACTTAGCCTTAGCTGTGTTTGTTGATAGCTAAGTACTCGACCACTTTTGTTGTCCTTGCAACAGGTATCATGACTTCAAGAACGTTTAACCGTGTCACGGGTTTTTGACATTCTTTTCATACGAGTCTGATATTGTCTTCAGCCAGGCTAGTGCGATATAAGCCATTGCATATATTGTAGTTTATGTACGATGGCAAGAGGAAGCATGAACCAACCCACGCCACGCCTTCGGCAAACCTTTCTGGCTAATGAATCCGGTGTACAAAGATTGATCACAGCTCAAGAAGTGCTACTAGAATGTAGCCTGGTCATTATTGTGCTTGGATGCTTCGCTGGAGTGATATTCTGTTTAGAGGTGATACGAAGGACGACCGTATTCGTTGATGGAAGAAACATCGGTGTATGAATCAAGTTCTTCGAGCTTCGATTGAGTCATCATGAATTATATGGTATCCATGTAGCCCCCAATTTATAGCAGACAGTCAACTGCGAAAGGATAAGGAAAGCAAAGAATTAATACTGCGAATTGTTGCATTTTAAGAGTGCCGATCGAGAATTTTTGGAACTTCGTTGGAGGATAATCAGCTGAAGCTCACGCCATGATCTTTCTGTTACAATATCGTGCTTTAGCAAGATATTCTACTCAGAGTGCTCAAAACCTTAGAGAACCCTACGCATCAGAAAGAGTGTGATGTGTGTACCGGTGGCATATAAACTTTATCCTCTGACTTCGTCGATTTTGCGTTGTAATTCGAAATAGAGAGGACACTTTTCATATTCACACTTCAACTTTAGGATCACGCTACTTCACGATTGTGTACGCGAAAAATTATATTAAGTAAGTTTCTTTACATGCATCATTTCAGCATAGGGAGAGTGTTTGGTGCATCTAATAACATAGACTATACGTGGCCTGCCTGCAACGACACGCATTGCAGTGCTTGCCATATAACCCAATAAGTTTTTGCCTTTCCCTCACCACCAACCCC